TGTCTCAAAAAAAAAAAAAAAAAAAAAAAAAAATTCTGTCACACCTGGCATCAGGAGAGACATGGTTCCTAAGGATAGACTGGGCTTGCCCTTTCTTTCCTGACTCTGAGAAAGAATTAGACCCTGTGTTTCCTCATCCTGTGGTGTCAGGCAGGTCACTTCTGCTCCCTGGGATTCAAATGGCAGGTAGCAAGAATGATGATACATTTGGGCAGCTGCTATGAGGGTCATGAACCTTCTCAGTGTCAGTGGTATTCCAGCCCTAGTCAGTCACAGAAATGGGGAGCAAAGATCTAGGCTTATTCCTATCAGGACTAATGCTGACATAACCTGGGCTCCCTGGCAGCCAGGCCAAAGAGGGAAATCAGCCAGTAATCAGCCTCTGGGTAAGGCCAGGTTGGTGGGAGAGCTGCCTCTTTCTAGCTTCTGCAGCATCACTGAGATAGGCAGATGTCTGGCTGGGTATTGAGTGCTGATGCTCTGGGCTGGTCCTTTCCCCACCCAAGTTTTGTCCTGCACCTCTCAAGAGGAACCTGAGCTGCCTATCAGGACTTGCCTTCTTTGGCCCCTTATCCTGGCCCCTGACACACAGCACGTAACTGTGGTGCATCCCTACAGGGCGGCAAGGACAGGCAATCACGCTGGTGACTCAGTATGACATCCACCTGGTGCATGCCATTGAGGAGCAGATCAGTGAGTAGCGCATGGTTGGGTGGAGGGGAGAGGTGAGTGCCTCTGGGTTAGACATGTTTTTGCCCTCATCAGAAGTTTCTTTTACCCATTTACTGACAGAAACTCCCTACGGAGGCCATCAGCAGCTGAAAGCCACATTAGGCAGGAGGGGACTGTGGGTTCCTAGACTGAGGTGTGTGCATGATCCCTGAGACCATCCACCAGGATGTCAAAAGCCTCAGTGTCAGAGCTTAGGCCTGGGCCTGTTAAGAGCTTCTTTATAAACTATCCAGGTGTTGTGGTGGGCGCCTATAGTCCCAGCTATTTTGGAGGCTGAGGCAAGAAGGATCACTTGAGTTTAAGAGTTTAAGGTTGGGCCAGGTGTGGTGGCTCACATCTGTAATCTTAACACTCTGGGAGGCCAGGGTGGGTGGATTGCCTAACTCAGCTCAGGAGTTGGAGACCAGTCTGAGGAAGAGTTAGACCCCATCTCTATAAGTAGTCAGGCATTGTGGTGGGCACCTGTAGTCCCAGCTACTTGGAAGGCTGAGGCAAGAGAATCACTTAAGCCCAAGAATTTGAGGTTGCTGTGAGCTATGATGTCATGGCACTCTCCACCCAGGATGACAGAGTGAGACTCTTGCCTCAAAGAAACAAACGCTTCGAGTAGTTTAATGTGTAGTAAAGACAGACCCACTGACTGGGGCATGTCCAATCATTGCTCAGACTGTCCTAGAATTCAGAAACATCTGACTTTAAAGGACATTGTTTCAAAGAAGTAAATATTCAGGGTCAAATTTACAGGTTGCTAACACACACGCAAAAGGTAGCAGTCCATACCTTCCCTTAGGTCTGAAATCTCGATCTTTCCCACCTAACCCTTACGATCACCTTATGGTCTTGCATGCCCCACTGCACAGGTTGCCCACTACATGACTGAACTCCCTCTCCCTGTTGTGTCTCTTCCCCACCCCAACCCCCGGGTCTGCTGCCCCATAGAGAAGAAGCTGGAGGAATTCTCGGTGGACGAAGCTGAGGTGCTACAGATCCTCACACAGGTCAATGTGGTCCGGAGAGAGTGTGAGATTGTGAGTGCCAGAGGCAGGGCAGAGCCAAGCTAGTCCTTGGGGCCCAGGGTGTTTTCTTCAAAAGAGGGACTTGATGACCAGCCTTTCCCTGTCTTCTCTCCAGAAACTGGAGGCAGCCCACTTTGATGAAAAGAAGGAGATCAACAAACGGAAGCAGCTGATCTTGGAGGGGAAGGTGAGGGCTGAGCCAGCAGGTGAGGAGTGGCTAGGTTCCTGGTGAGGAATGGGCACCCAGCTCAGCCATTTCCTGTTCCTTGAGCCAGGACCCCGACTTGGAGGCCAAGCGCAAAGCTGAACTGGCCAAGATCAAGCAGAAGAACCGGCGCTTCAAGGAGAAGGTGGCACAGACGCTGCAGAGGCAGAAGGCCAGCAGGGCAAGCTGCACAGGACATCCACCCAGGTCCCGGTCTGGGGTCTGTCCAGGCCCTTTACCCACCCAGGGCCCAGCCTGAGCTCCACACAGCACCCACATGCCCAGTCTGGGACTCCTCTGTGGACCTGAAAGTCTGAAAGTCCTCTGGGGTCTATCCAGCACCCCTCAGCTGAATCTGTAGGCAACTATGCCTCTCATCTGTGTACCCCTTGACTTTTCCCTTCTTAGAACCTTGGCCAAGAGTCAGGCTCTGGAGGAGGAAGGAACACTGACCAAGTCAGACTCAACTCTAGCCTTAGCCTAGGGTCACTCCCCAGGGCTGCCACATGCAGGGGGTGCTCAATAAATGGGTCTTTTGACTTCCTCAGTGTGATTAAGAGAATGGCTCAGGGGTGGGGGTAGGAGTAGGGTGCAGCATGTGTTCTGTTTCTTAGGTCCTCCAGAATACCACATCCATTTCCGTGAAGTAGGCCCAAAGTTTTGTGGACAAACTACCAGCCTGAACCTCTGGGCTGGCCATTCCGGCCATGTGACCTTGAGGTGGTGAAGCCCCTTCTCTGGGCCTGGCAGTTGCACTGTTCTGCAGAGGTGGCCATGAGGTTTCAGTGAGGCTGTCCCTGTGCTTAGTGAATACAGCTATGTTCTAGAAGCTTCCCTATCCTACATGGATGCAGGGTCAGCCAAGGTGCCCCCAAGAAGAGGACGTAGGTAAAGGGGCTGGTTATAGGTACTCAGGAGTCTACACATACTACACATAGCCATACTTAGAAATGTAATTTGGGCACCAGCACACATCCCAGAGATCTAGAAATTCTACACAATGGATAGTTCAAAAACAGCCTCCAAGCTGTAAATGGCCAGGCCTGCCCCAGACCCTTAGTCCCTGCCAGGGCAAATGGGCCCAACTATGCCATCTATAGCCCAGCCTATGCTGTGGGCAGAATCGTTCGTGTAAAAGCAGCCCTGAGGGTGCTGGCTCCTGCTCAGACTTGGGCAGCTGGGATCAGGGTGTAGATTCAGCCAGTCGAGCTAGCCCCTCACGAAGCTCGCTCAGCTCAAAAAGCCTGACGTCCAGCAGCTGTGCTGCTCTGCCCACCTCAGCCCGTGCCCGTTCCCGCTCTGCCCGTGCTTCCTCCAGGCTACGCTCTGTCACCCGCAACTGGTGTTCCAGCTCTGCGTTGCGGGTCTCCAGGTCCTGCAGGGAGAAGGTGGACACAGTTGGGGGCCCTAACAAGTCTCAGGAGTCCCCAAAACCTTGCCTGTGGCCCAAGCCCCCCTCTGCCTCGTGCTTTCTCCCTGCACCTCTGCTGTGCCCACAGCTCCCTATTCCCCTGGCCATTTTGAACATCACAGAAGAGATCCTGTCCTTCCTCTGCTCAAAGCCCTCTCATGGCTCCCATCCTCCCTGGCCCACCTATAGTTCTTTGAACACCCAACTTTCCTCCCACCCTGGAGCCTTTGCACATGTACATGCCCTATGCCCAGGAGACAACAGAGAAAATCTAACTTTTCTCTTCAGCAGCCCTTTTAAGGGAACCAGATCCTTGAATATCTCCAATTGAGTTTCCAGGAAATGCTCACTGAACATTTCTCACATAAAGGCTTCAGGGAAAACCTAGCCAGCTAGATTTCAAATGCAGGCTCTTGTGACCTCAGGCTAAGGACATGTGAGGATTTGATAGGGGTAAGCATAGGAATATAGCATGGATTCAGAAGTTGCTTATTGGACTCATGGATGGATGTGAAACCGTACTAATAACCATTGATTACAAAGCACCTACTAGGTGTCATACCTTCTGTGGGCCTGGTTTTCCCTACATCAGTATTTCTCAGCTTTCCTAATGCTGCAACCCTTTAATACAGTTCCTCATGTTGTAGTGACCCCCAACCATAAAATTACTACTTCATAATTGTAATTTTGACATTGTTAAGGATCATAATGTAAATATCTGATATGCAGGATCTATTTTCATTGTTAAAAAGGGGTCGTGACCCACAGGTTTAGAACTGCTGCCATACACTTTAAAGCCTTACGTATATATTAACCTCACTCCATGTCCAGATGAAACGGCTCAAGCATGGAGCTGCCCATGACCCACCAGGAAGACAAATCCCAGGTCTGTCCTACCCTGCCCACTGTCACCCCACCACCTGGCACTCACACACACCTGCACCTTCTGTTGCGTCTCCTCACGCTCAGTGGTGTCTGGAGCATCTCGGGGTCCACTTGTCTGATTCCTCAAGGTCTGAATCTCCTAGAGAAGAAGGAGTTCCAGGGTCTGTCTGGGACCCTGGCTTCTCCCACAGGAGGTAAGGAAAAGCAAAGCCCAGGGCCACACTCAGTGCTTACCTGGTCCTTGGTCTGCACTAGCACCTCTAGCTGCTCCAACGACTGGCTGGGTGCTTCCTTCTCGCTGCCCTGGGGGGCCTCTGCAGCTGCCTGGGCCTCCAATTCGGCCACCTGTGAGGAAAGGAATCTCAGCCCCTAATGCTCCAGTCAGGACCCTTGGGGCATTGGCTTCCTGCTCAGCCATGGCTATGACTGAGCACTCACTCCCTTGTTTGGTGTGCTACCACCTGCCTCTGGGCAGCTTGGACTTTAGGGTCTGATGACCCTCTGAGGCTGACATTGGCGCAGACCCATTTTATACAGCAAGAAACTGTGGCTCGGGGAAGTGACCTGTTGAGGTCACACAGCCATGAATCCAAGGCAGACGGGACACTCGGAGGCGCAGGCTCCACGCTGCCTGGCCCAGGCAGGGGTTTCAGGGAGAGAGGGTTGCCCTCACCCGCTGCCGCAGCCGCTCAGCCTCTGCGCGCTGGGCCTCCAGCTGCTGCCTCCACTGGGCTGCGGCGGCGTTGGCCTCCCGCAGCGCGCCCGCCAGCTTATTGTTGCTGTCCTGCAGCGCGAAGAACTCAGCCTCCCACTGTACCTCTCCCACGGAGCTGCGGAGAGTCGTGAATTAACAGGGGGCGACAATGGGCTGGGGGCGGGGCCAGAGGCGACGCTAGGCTAGGGGAAGGAGCGACAGAACTGGGGGTGGGGCCAGAAGACTCAGGGCTATAAGCTAAGGGTATGGGTGGTCCGGGAGAGACACGGTCTTTTGTCTGGGACCAGATCCAAACCACCACGTGGAGTCAGCCCAGTGAGACACTGTCCAAATGGTGGACAAGGGAGAGTGTCAGCCGATGGGGACATAGCAGCATGGGGCTGAGGATGGGCAAGTGCCCTTGCATTTATCATTAGCTTGCAGAGTGTGCACCGGGATTAGAAGTAGCAGGGAAAGGGGCGGGGTCAACCCGTGGAGGCACGTTCAACTTAGGGGTGAGTTCGAGGGGCAAGGTCGGCTCACCATAGGGCAGGATCAGGTTAGCCTCCTCCCCTTTCTCAGGTCTAGGGGTCCAAAGCCAGATCCCGCCGCCTGTCTCCTGCCTCGACTTCTAAAAAACCCCTTCCCGGTCCTCACTCCGTCCCGCCCTGCAGTGGCCCCAGTCCTGCCACGCCCCTCACCCTTCCGACAGCATCTTCTTGAGCCGCTCTCTCTCTGTGGGGCCCGGGGCGTCTGCACTCTGGCTGCGGAACAGTTTCTCCTCGCCGGGGCCGTTGGCACTGACAAGGGGGCTCGGAGGCACCTGAGGATAAGGGCGAGGACGGAGTCATATAAGCAATGGCTTCATTGCTTATCAAGGATAGGTTAGAACATCATGGTTGGGGCGCGCCACTGGAGTCGTGACTGAGTTCAGGGAATCTGAACTGACCTACAGACTCCAGCACGTCCTTCACAGCACAGGATCCATGCACGTCCCTCTCTACCTGACCCACCTCCATGGTTCCCCATGGGCTGAGAGTTCTGTGCCCCACCCCGACCTTGCCTGCCTGGTTTCACTAACTCTCCAGGAGCAAACATGACACAGGTTAGACTAAACCCACTGATGCTCTCACATCTGTAAAAGGTGAGGAAACAATCTGAAAGCTTTCTCCATAGTAATGCTACCCTGAGGGCCAATCTTCAATATCCTATGTAACTCCAGCAGGATGCCTTCCTCAGGCTTCCTGGACCTGAGAGCAGAAGTCAGTTTGCTTTTTCATCTCTATAACCCCTGTGCACAGCTTTGGGCTTGGCACACAGCAGGTGCTCAGTAAATGATGCTGAATAAATTAATACGGGAAAACACCCAGAGGCAGTTCATTGCTCTGCCCTGTACCTAGGCATTTCAATTCCTAGTCTTCAGTTCTGCCATCTGAATTGTGGTTTTGTCACTGGCTCCTACTTGGTGCCCTCCCCGACCCTAGGCTAGGCCCATGCCCCCATGACATGCTCCCATATCCCTCCTTAATGGTCACAGCTCTGGGTCTAACTTCAACTACTTCATAAAGTTAGAGCATTTGGTCTTGGGAACAATTATGGTGCCCAGATCCCCTAATATTGGGTGGGTGCCCGCCTGTCCCAGGGGTGCCCAATGAGGGGAGCAAAGAATGCTGACCTGGTGGGAGGCAAGCCCCAGGGCAGGACTGGTGAGCTCTCCCCCATCCTGAGATTTCTCCCGTGCCAGTCTAGCTGCTTCCTTCACTTCCTGGAATTTCTCAGCAAACTAGAGGGTGGAGGGAGGAAAGGAGAACAGTCAACAAACCCCAGGTCCCCCACCAGGTCACTCCCACCCAAGGACAGCCCTGTCACTTTGGAATGAACCTTCGGAACTATGATTATCCCCTTATCACACAAACTGGAAGAAGGGAGTTGTGTGATTGGAAAACAATATTCCCATGAGCAGAGTAGGTATTATGGCAGGCTGGCAGGTGGCATTAAGTCACAGAAGTGGCATGAAATACATTGTTCCACATTGAGAAACAAATTCCTTTTTTCTACCAGGCTTATTTTTACAAAGTGAGTCTCAGGTTGGTGCTGATCTGTTTTTATAACTTTATAACAAAGAAAGAGTAGGGAAAGAAAAAAAGCAAAAGAAACAACAAAGGAGAAACAAGGACAAATTATAAAGAGAGAGAGAGGTCTTGGGCTCTGAGAACCATGTAGTCAGTGAGACAGTAATCTTTGTTCTTGTTTTCATTGTAGCAAATGTTTACATTTACCACCTATCTATGACAAGCAATACCAGTTTTCCCATTAGAACAGGACACTATGGCTT